ACACACACACACACATATATAGAGTGAAGGTCTATAAAATAAAAATATACTGTGGCATTAATGACAGTAAACCATTGCTATGTTTAGATACAGTATATAATAAAAAATGAAGCTATAAAACAATTAAAATACACACCAACAGTAAAATAACATTTTACTTAAAAGTAAGAGTATTAGCATCAAATAATACAATAAACTTCAAAAATATTCTATACTTATGATATTTTATGTGTAAGTATATTATTTATGTTGCAGCTGGTAATGTGGAGCTTATTTTATATCCTGCTGGGAAGCTTAAACTATAAAAATGTGTTGATTATATTTTGTGTTAACAATCTGAATCTGTAAATATAAGTATGTTTAGTAGTTTATAAATATATAAATAAATAATTGAATAAGTACAAATAAATCAATAATCATATTAAACGTCAGTCATTGTTCTTAAACATAATCATTAATGACATTGTTGTGGTAGAGCAACATATAGGAACGTCACTTTACTCTCTGGGTTTGGGAAACTTGGGGATTTAAACTGTTAATTAAAAAGTCACAAACTAAACGCCATAAATCAGTTCTCATGAAACTGTAAACAGGTTAAAGCGGTTCATCTTCTTTGGCTTCTGTTTGATTGAAGCTCACCTGAACTGGGGGAACGGCCTGGGTCACACCCCTCAAAGGCCGTTGTACAGGAGTGTTGGGAACATAACGAGTCCAGGTTTTTACAGGTTGGCGTGGACAGAGAAGGTAGGCCGAGGTAATCTAAAACTAATCCCCACTGTTCCATCAACTGCAGCACCTCCCTGGAGATTCATCAGGCTGAAAGAGGAACCTGAACCAGAACCAAAGGGGACTGAAACACAATACCATATTGAATACTGCGGAAGGAAACAATCTGATATATATGATTATAGGGGTTCAGACGCCTCCTTCCTCTGGGTTCCTGCTCATGTAGGGGTGGAAGGACATGGGAAGGTGGATCTATTGGCACACAAGTACCGTTAAGTAAAGCAGAAGTTAAAACAATCATAAAGGATCATATACGAAAGACTTTGCAGGAATACTGGGACTCATGTGACACTGGAAAACTCTTTACATTAAACAGAGGAATCATAATCTTCACCTGTCTGAGGATACAGGATTAAATCACTCCAGATCAGAGGCAGCATCCTGGTGGACTATACACACACTAATAAACTGTCCAACATGTATTAACATTTCAATTAAATTACATTACTATCAGCATTTAAAGAGGGATATAAAAAATAAAATAATAAATAATAATATATAAATATAAAATAAAATAAAATAATATTAAATATAAATATAACT